GAGGTTCAGATTGGATATTAGGATATTCTTCTCTGAAAAAAGTGGTGCTGCAGTGGCACAAGCTGCCCATGGAGGTGGTGCAGTCACCATCCCTGCAGGTGTTCCAGAGCCGTGTGGATGTGGCACTGAGGACATGATCAGTGGGCATGGTGGGGATGGACTGGAGGTTGGACCAGGTAATCTTAGAGATCTTTTCCAGCCTTAATGATTCTGTAATTCCATGCTGACAAGCCCTAATGAGTGGACCTCTGCCATTATGCTTTTTATTCTTCTAAGGCAAAATTTACGTGGACTGCCTGTGCAGTGCTGCAGCCACCTGCCTTGCCATGACAAAGACAACCACTGGGTGCTGCCCATGCCATTCCTTCCCCATTGAGGTCCCACATCCTCTGTGTCTCCAGACAGTGTTGTTGCCAAGACTTCAGTTACCTGACAACTTTGTAACTTGCCTTCACCTGCTCACCTTTGAGGACCACTGGCTGGACATAAAACTGTTGAAACAGATTCAGAAGCCCAGTTTTTAGGCCACAGCTAAGTTCTGATCACAGGGATGTGATTGTGATTGTGTTAAGGCTTGAACCATCCCAAATGCCCATAACTCCTATGCCAAATGTCAAGAGCTAGATGACTACATAGCACAAGGAGTCACAGCTGCTAGATGCAGCATAGAGAAGTGGTGAGAAGTATAGGGAAGCACTCAGAGCAGGGAATGAGATCGGGAAATCCTAATTTCCTTCCTGGAGAAGTGCTGTCACAAAATAACTTGATTTTTTATCCTGCCTCTTTTATTCTGGATCTGCCCCTTGCAGCACAGGTGAAAACTAGTGGGAGAGTTTGGGGCTGTCATTTTTTTTTTTTCCCCCAATGAAGGTGTAAAATACATGACATACTGCAAGGAGCTAAGGGAGAGAGAGCTAAGACAAACAGCCCCCTCTTTGCCCATCTACCTCCCCGCCCATGGGGTACAGCAGAAGCAATAAGCATTTGCATGCTCAACAACATCCCTCTTCCTGAGCATCTCACTAGCCAGAAGGGTTTGCTGTGTCCCTGCAGCAATCAGCAGTGGTCCTGCCTGCAAGATGCTGCCAGCAGGTTGCTCCTCCGGGGGGAGAGTGGGGAGGGAATAGCAGAGTGCTTTGCACTGCCACCCCCATCTCACAGAACAGAACCTGGCAGAGCCGAGCCACCCTCTCCCCCCCCCCCCCCCCCCCCCAGCTACACCATTTCGCACCACACAGATGCTCTCTGCATCCCTCTCATCTCCCCTCCACCCCCTCCTTCCACCCTGCTCCTCCGTCACCAAACCCGCTCTCTGCAGATTGACGGTGGGCCCTGTGTTCCTCTCTTCTCACTCCCCTCCTGTATTTCTACCCTTTTCTCTCTCCATTTCACTCCTTTCTCCCTTTCATCCCTTCTCCCATCGCTCAGCCCCTCATTCTCATTCTCTGCCGCCTCTCCTGCGCCGGGTGCCCATTGGTTGTCAGGATCCGTCCCCCACCAGCTGCCACCCCTCTCCATCTGCCGCCCCTGGCCGCCAAGCCCCCCTCTCTGCAGATTGACGGTGGACCAGGGGATTTGTTGGGTCCTCAGAGCCACTGATGTGGGGCTGAGGGTCCTGGCACCCCTGGATGGCCACGGCCACGAGTGGGCCCTGGGGGTGAGGAGGAGACGTCCCGCAGCAGTCAGGGATGGAGCGATGGGCAGGTCCAAGGAAGAAGGACTTGTGGCTCTGCTGATAGGATATTTTAGACTCCCTCCCTTCTGGGACTGCTTTCCTTTAAAAAGGGGAAGGGGAAAACTATGACACGGATTCTCACGGTGAAGCAGAGGAAAATGTGCATTCCAACGACACGTAAGTACCAGGCAGCTCTGTCTGCTCTTCCCAGCTGTCTCCCGCGGGCATGAGTCCATGCAGAAGTTAACTCTGCCACCCCACAGAGGAAACATTCTGACTCCCAGTTCTGCCAGCACCCTGCCACCTTGCTCAACCTGCAGTGAGGCAGGGGCTGTCCTGAGCTGGAACAGGACCTTGGCAAACAAGGTGGGGAGGGTAGCAAGGAGGCAGCAAGTTACCGGGCTCAATGGTCTCTCCTGGCTTTTAGCCCTGCTTTGTAGACAGGCTTTAGCATCCTCCTCCTCCCAGTCAATGCAGAAATGTAGAAAAATGTCTATATAGATATATAGAAACTTAAATTGGTTGCACCAACTCCCAGCTTCCTCCTATCTCTCTGCCCACACCTGCTCTCCAGCTGTATGGGCCAGATGTATTCTGGCAGCACCTGTTGGAAGATCCCAAGTCTCCTTCAACAGATTCTGTCCACATCATTAGGAACAAACCCCAAGCAGATGCCAACACACTTCAGTCCGAAGCCAGTTTTCCTTGCCACTTTCCATCTATGCAGGTGCTGCCAGAGCAGTGTGGATCCAGCCCAAATTAGGTACTGATGTTCTGTGGTTGTTCTGTCAAACTAGCCAGGGCATTTGATGTGGAGTTTGAGCTGGTAGATGGTGCCTGACAAAGTTAGTGGGGCACAGATTGACTACCCCTGCTTAAAGACAGAGTTTGCCCACCAGGATTGTACGAGCAGGAGAATTCATCTTCTGCTCCTTATAGTGAATCAGTGTTTCATATTGCATGCTTTAGCATTTTTATAGGGTTTTTGGACCTCTGAAGCTGGCTTTAATGTATTGCTAAAAAACAATCTGAACAACAAGCTTTGAAGTCTGGACCCCAGATATTTCCCCATATGCTTTTCATACCATCACAGGTGTCCTCATATGTATTTATCATTTGTGGGGCTTTATCTCCAAATGCCCTTTTGGAAATTCCTGTGCATGTAGAAGGAACATCCTAAAGGGATTTCTAACAATGTCCCCACATTTTAGAGGATCATCTTTTTATGTACACATTGTTCTGTTCTCTGTTAATGTTCACAAGGATCTTTTTCCTCAGAGTAGACATTTCCTTCTCCTTCCTCCAACAAAGGCTAATGGGCACATATGTCACTGGAACAGCAGTGGAAAAAGATCTTAGAGCTTGGAAACAAGTGTCAAATTGCATCCTACTCTGTCCATTCATTGCAGATAATCATCATGCATGGAACAGCCCAGTACTGCAGAACCTCAAGAAGTAGGCTTCCATCAAGACAGTGTGTCATGTCACAGCCCAAGGCACCTTCACATAAAGAAATGCAAACAATTCCAGTCCTTCAAAGCTCATTTAAGTATAGCAGGAAACATTTATGCAATAACCAATTGCATAATTAAGAAGTTGTGGATGCCCCACCCCTGACGGCATTCAAGGCCAGGCTGGATGTGACTCTGGGCAGCCTGGTCTGGTGTCCCTGGCAGGGGGGTTGAAACTGGGTGATCCTTGAGGTCCTTCTCAACCCAGGCCGTTCTATAATTCTATGACTGGGCTTACGACATAGTTGTCTAGTTGCCTCTTCCTGCGGTCTGTCAGATGAGGTTCTTTCAACATAAGATATGGCACACCACACTGAAGTCTGCTGGGTTTTGCCTATCTGATACATAAGAACCATCCAAAACTGAGCTCTGCCCTGAGGTTTCCAAAAGCTGCAATGACATCAACAAAAAAGACAGAAAGTTGTACATCAAGACATACGTGAACAATATTGAGATCCTCTGTAGACTCCAACTGGGAGAAAATTTTCTGGAGAGCTTCTGGCCTCCTGAACATAGTTAATGTTTGGAGTTCTTTCCTTTGAGATCTCCAGGTTTCATTTCAAGAGTAAAAGAGCTTCAGAACCCTGAGAGATCTGTATAAAGGGGAACCTCAGGTCCCTGGCATTTCCACCAAGCCATCACAATTTCCAAGGAGCTGGTTCTCCAGAAAATTTTGCTAGAGCTGGAGTGACTCTGAAAACATCACACATCTGCCCTGCATAAGTTATGCCAACAAGTCTCTAGTTTGGACTCCACTATATTTCTAGAGCCCTGACTGAGGACAAAAGGCATTCTCTCCCCTTCTCTCTCTCTCTTTTCCCTGCAGCTCTGCGCCCAGTGTCAGCACAGAGCTGGTAGAGGACAGAGAGTTTGTTTGTTCAAAGCTCTCTCTGAGTGAGCTGAGAGTGCGGTTTCCATGCCAAAGCCTGATGTAATGGGCAATTGGGCAACTCAGATTAGGAAGCCTGGGACACTGCTTTGGTGTTGTGAACAGCTGGGGCAGGCAGAGCCACCTCAATTAACAGGGAGCAAGAGGAGAGAGAGAAAACAAGCCAAAGACACAAGGGAGAGCTCTGTGCTTATCCCTCCTGAAGTACCCAAAATAATGTAGCTCTTATTTTACTTTCAAACCAGCATAACACAAAACAGCAACTCTTCAGCTCAGGTGATGATCTTAGCTTCCAGGCTTGAAGTAAGTGTGGAGATGCTTTAATTTCTGCTGGTGAGGCTAACAACCCCATGGTGACCTCCCAAGTCCAAAATGAGCTTCAGGAAGAGAATATTCGGTGAATGGAGGATCCAAAGATTCCATAGGCACTTTGTCCCTGGATATCTCCCCCTCTTTTGTTCATAAGGCACCTGCTCCTCATAAATGAGAATTAGGTCTCTCATATCTGCTCCTCCAGTGCTGTAGCCATCAACAGAAAACAAGGAATTTCCCCGTACCTAACCTACTCTTCCCGGATGATCTTTTCCTAGAAGAGAATATCTTATCCCACACTGAGTCACGTCCCTGTTTATCCTGCTGTGCCTTCTGCACCTCTCAAGTCTGGATGGGATCAATACTGTTCTGCATGTTCCAGTGGCTGCCTGTACCCACTCACCCATCTCAACTTCCCACGCCTGTTAACCCGTAGACGTGAAGATGTAGACCCGTAGATGTAGACCTGTAGATGTAGACCCGTAGATGTGAAGGTTCTATTCATGGCTTGTTCAGCTGTCAAATTGCTGCTGTAAATTTCTTCTCTTCTCACCTCCAGATTGCTAATTGATCCTGCAGGGAGACTTTCCTCACCTTCTTTTCTGCTTCTGCTATGGACACTTCTGCTTTCAGCCTCCCCACGCCAACAGTGTCAGAGGAGGGGAATGCCTCTGATAGCTGGGCAGGCTTCATCAGCCCCAACAACTCCACGACCACCACCAGCCCTGGTGTGGTTGTCAGCGGTGTCCTCATCCCTGTGGTTTACCTCATCGTCTGTGTGGTGGGGCTAATCGGAAATTCTCTGGTCATTTACGTGGTTTTGCGACACTCTGTGAGTGAATCAGTGACCAATGTCTACATCTTGAACCTGGCCCTAGCTGATGAACTCTTCATGCTGGGTCTGCCATTTCTGGCAGCACAAAATGCCCTATCCTACTGGCCATTTGGGTCCTTCATGTGCCGCTTAGTGATGGCCGTGGATGCCATCAACCAGTTCACCAGCATCTTCTGCCTGACAGTGATGAGTGTTGATCGCTACCTGGCTGTGGTCCATCCTGGGAAGTCCTCCAAATGGCGAACAGCACGAGTGGCCAAGGCTGTGAGTGCCACTGTGTGGATGCTGTCGTCCATAGTGGTGCTGCCCGTGGTGGTCTTCTCAGATGTTCCTTTAGGTATGAGCACATGCCACATCCAATGGCCAGAACCTGCCTCAGTTTGGCGAGCTGGATTCATCATTTACACTGCCACTTTGGGCTTCTTCGGGCCACTGCTGGTGATTTGTCTCTGCTATCTTCTCATTGTTGTGAAGGTCCGTTCTTCCAGCAGAAGGGTGAGGGCTCTGTCCTCTAAACATAAGCTTTCAGAGCGCAGGGTGACTCGCATGGTGGTGACTGTTGTGGCTGTCTTTGTCCTCTGCTGGCTCCCCTTCTACGTCCTCAACATAATCAATGTTGTTTGTCCACTGCCAGAGGAGCCGTCCCTCTTCGGTGTCTATTTCCTTGTGGTGGTGCTGCCATACGCCAATAGCTGTGCCAACCCTATCATCTATGGCTTCCTCTCCTATCGCTTCAAGCAAGGCTTCCGAAGGGCCATCTTCAGGCAGTCCCGCCGTGTCCAGAGCCAGGAAGTGCCAGAATGTCCCCCAGAAAAGTCTGATGATGAAGGAGAAGAAAAGGAGATCAGCAAGATCACCCAGAATGGCAATGACAGACAGGAGCGCCCTCTAAGCAGCAGGGCAGGAGAAAGCAATGGGCAAAAACCACTCCCTGAGGAGACTGTGGGCTGTGAGAAGAGCAGCAAGCTACATGTCAGCTATTTATGATGGAAGGGATGGTGCAGGGGAAAGAGACTGGGACATGGGATCCCTCTGTGCTATCCCATCTCAGAGACAATGTGAGAAGTTGATACAAGGCAATATTACAGATTATGCTTCAAGATGAAGAGGGCTCCATCAGCTTGTGGAAAAAAATCCAAAGCATTGTACTTGGCTTTGGAAGGGACACCTAAGTATTGTGTGGCAAGAAGTAAAGGAAGGGCTGAATCTAGGGAGAGCAGAACAGGATATGGGAACAGGCAGTATGGAGAGAGCAAGGTCTGTTCTATGCTGCATGATTCACCTTTGATCACCCACCTATGAAGAGCATCAGCTACCATGTGACTGGCACTTCAAGGGAATGCTCAAAAAGGTGTAAGTGATGTGTGCCTCTGAAGATCTACAACAGGCATCCCAGTGTCTTGGTTGTCTTCCTGTGGACATGAGAAGCGGTTTATCCTGGAGTAAGAACAAGAAGGACAAATCTCTGCAGCTAAGACCCACCAGCAGCCTGTTGCATGAATGGCTGACATCTTTTTAGCTCTTCAGAAAGTCTTAGGGACAACTTACCCCCTCACTGGTCCTGGCTGGAGACCACTCGATAATGAGAATTACACAGCAGTGCAAATGGGACATTTCTTTCCCAAACTCTACAAACTTCAAGCTTTTCTGGTGACTGCACCCTGATAGAAGACATAACGAGTAGAAAATAAGCCAGTGAGGCATGGGTTAGAGGCATGTTTCTTATAAACTGAACTGCCTTTTCTCTTTTTTCTCTCCCTCAGCCTGGCTGTAAATAAACAAAATGCCTTTGGACTTAAAAGCCAACTGAGCAGAACAATTCTGTGTGTTTAGGAGAAGAGAGATGCTATAGATTTGGCTCTCCTGAGAATACACAATCTCTCTGATCTCTGTATAAAGGAATGTTTGGCTGGTACAGGAGATCAAAGTATGTATCAGCAGAGAATGGTGGCAGGAAGGAGAGGAGGCCAGAGGGATCTCCAATGTGTGTTGGAGGAGTCTGGGAAATACTAGCAGCTGATTGTTCTTGTGGGAAACTGTGGAGTGTTTGGCTCTGGATGGAGAGGAAATGATGTGCCTGCAAATGTTTGAAAGTGGTTGTATGTAAAAATTTGATCAGTGGACTGTATGTGTGTGAGAATGGCTGAACAGGGTCAAGGACTGAGGAGTCAGCGTTGGAGGGGAATGCATGGGTGTTTGGCACTGTGGGATGGATACAGATAAGTACAGATAAAGATTTGTGTGTGCATAAGTGCATAAAAATGCAGGTGAGGAAGAATGTTTATGCAACTGTGGGATGTTTAAGTGTAGGCATGCAAGTATATATAGCAGTGTGCATGTGACAAGTTGTGTCAGAGTGCGAGAGGGTGTGTGCTGCTGTGAGTGTTGGATGAGTGTGCATCAGCTGCTGGAAGGAAGCTGTAAGTGAGCCTGTGGAACAGCAGCAATGCACAAGGGTGGGTGGGATGAAGGTCACTTTTCCGATCACTTTGGCTTCATTCCTACAGGCTCTGTCTGTCCTCACACCTCGAGCTTCTCCATGAATGCTGTTGCTAAGCTACAGCCACCAAGAAGATTCTCATACCAGAGCCCCTGGTAGTATATGGGCACTTTCGTCCACAGACAATTTAAAGTTCCCTTAGTATGGAGATGCTGGAGGATAGACTCCAGGTAGGGTCAATGACAAGAGCTGGCTGAGTGATAAAGAGATGTCTCACAGGACACTTGAAAGAAGGCATGTGATGTGAAGGATGGCATGGGGGAAGTGCGCTAGGACAGGAGGCTCAGCCTCTGAACTCCCAGTAACAGTACCAACCTTTTGCTTAGCTCCTCTTATAAAACACACTTACTCCCCTGAACAAGAGCAGTCATATGCTGAGGAGTGTAGGCTTAACTCATGGAGAAAAGAAAACGGTTGGTAGCCATTTTCTATCTTCTGCTACCTTTTCACATCCCCCCCTCCTTCCATACATGCACCAGCTCCCCACTCTGTAGGCTGTAGTGAGGCTGTAGTGAGAAAAGCTGCCAAACTATTCATGGCTGTGGGATTCACAATCTGTTGCACTAAAAAGGCTCCTTTTTTTTTTCTTTTTTTTTTTTTTTCCTTGGGAAGCTCCCACAGCACCCAATGGAGCACAGTGAAAAAATCTTAGCAGAATGAAGATGAACTGCTGAAGCCCCTGCCTGCCTAAAGGGTTAAAATGAGTAGAAAAGGAAAAAGATATGGCTACCAAGTAGCCAGACGTGTAGACAACACAGCTCTTTAAATGGCAGCCTGTTCTGTGCTTCTTGCATCAATGAGTAGAGCAAAGTGAATGTGGAGCACAGCCAGCACAGCAATCCCTGTAGAACAGAGGAAAAATGATATCAACTATGGTGATGGCTGATAGCCGGGGACTGAAAAAGGCATGGGATGAAGAATGGGGACCTTGCTGAAATCATAGAATCATTAAGGCTGGAAAAGATCTCTAAGATCACGTGGTCCAACCTCCAGCCCATCCCCACCATGCCCATTGACCACATCCTCAGTGCCACATCCACACGGCTCTGGAACACCTTCAGGGATGGTGACTGCACCACCTCCCTGGGCAGCCTGTGCCACTGCAGCATCCCTCTTTCTGAGAAGAAATTTTTCCTAATATCCAACCTGAAAGCATCTGAGAGGAGTGAGAGAAGGCATAGTAAGCCACTGCTTTCCCTACCAAACTGAGCTGAAGCTTCACTTCACACGCCTTTGTAATTCCATCTGCTTTAAGTCACCATTCGAGAAACTCCACCAACTGGTTGACTTCTTAAAATACCTACATCTCTGAAGAGCCCAAGCACTGCAATGCCAGCACTGAGTGGGTATGCCAAAGAGACATCATTTTGGTACACCAAATGTGAGCCCAGTAAGAAGGCATCTCTGCAGGGGATTCAGCTGTGGAAAGCAACTCTGGGGTTTTAGTTTAAATAGGAGTTTAAAGAAAAAGGTTCACAAGTATCATAAAGGCAGGGAAGGTCTGGAACAGGTTGTCCAGAGAGGTGGTGGATGCCCTGCCCATGGAGACATCCAAGGTCAGGCTAGAGGGGCTCTGAGCACCCTAGCCTGCCTGCAGGCGTCCCTGTTCATTGCAGGGGAGTTGGACTAAATAGCCTTTATGGGTCCCTTCCAACTCAATTGATTCCATGGTTGTATTTTTCTGCTTTTGTTTTCTTCTCGTTATGCCACATCCTGCAGTTCAGTGACAAATTGAGGAGGGGGGGGGGGAATAATGAGATAAACCAAGAATAAAACTGGAGGAGGGGGGGAAAAAAGTATTTTTGCCTACAGTTCATGATGATAAAACAAACGTTACACAATTCTGCAAAGTATTCTCATCGATTAAAGGCTGTTGGGAATGACGAAGGTTAGCCCTCTGCCTCCCACCACCAGCCTCTCAGCTCAGCTCGTCCTCCCTCCTGGTGAATTCTCAGCTTTCTCTGTGACAACAGTGATAATCCAGTTACCCTTCTGATCCTCCTAAGGACAGCGAGGTTGTTTCTGGGCACCCCAGGGGCCACAGGGACTGTGCACAGTGAAATGATGGCCGAGTTCAGGAGGATTTGTTCCAGTCAGATGTGGAAATGGATTTTTCTATTCTGGGTGCAGAGGCACGGAGATAAGGGCTCCAACAAGCACTGTGCCGCACAAAGGTTTTTATTCTCATCACGTAGAGATTGGAGCTGCAGGACTAGAAAGGGCCGCAGTGATTTCAGCAGTGTTGTGCAATGCCTCTCCCAGCAAATGTTTGATCACAGAGAAGGGTGTACGAGCTGCAGGGAGCCCACCCTGCTGAGAGCTCGTGTGCACACGTCAGAGAGCAGATACTGAGAGGCATATGCATGCGATGTGTTTGCGTGCATGCAAACGAGTATTAACGTGGCTGCACGTGTGGGTATGTGTGAATGCGTGCATATATATTCACGTCTGTGGGTGCTTTAATCCATGCATTATCTGTGAGTGTATGAGACAAAATTTGGATGAATGCATGCCCAAGCACAATTTTGCAATCCTAACTGAGGCACAGGGCAGCTTTGGACCCATTAACAGAAAAGGCAGGGTGCTAAGGGGAAGAAGTCCTGCAGCAAGGCAAGGGGGTGAGTTTCCAGTTTGTTACCAGTGCAGCCCACACTTTAACGTAATTGGAAGCTGTTGTTAGGGAGCCAGTGTATTTATAATCAGCAGGGTAATGCAGTGGCTCGGCTCAGCTCAGGCAAGCACAGTAGTGTCCACTTTCTGCTTCAGCTGCTACACAGGACTCTGGAACAAGGGAGTGTGGAGAGGGGTCAGGAAGCAGTTAACCAGTTGTTATAGGGGAAATAGGGGAGCCAGGGAGATCAAGAAATGAAATACCCGTGAAAAGAAGACGCTTCTGCATCTCTTGAGGATGCAACAGAGAACCAAAATGCTTTATCTGCTTGAACGAGTGGAAAATATGCAAATATTTGCTCATGAAAACTTGGTGTGCTTTGCCTTCCCAAGCATAAAATATGCAAACGTCACGCAGCACACAGCCAGCTCACTCAGATCTCTCACTCAGTGTGTCATGCACAAACACACACACTGGGATGTCAGCGCAGCCAGCTGTGGCATGTCCCTCTCTAACATGACAAAAGAGGACATGCAGAGATGAAATATATATGCCTTGACTCATGTGTAGTGTGTGCACAACACAGACATTTCATCTGTGCCCTCTCATGGCTCTTCCAGCTGGCCGAGGAGAGACCAGCACCCAAACCTGCTGCCACTCACTGGGATGTTATCCCCAGACACTTTCCGTGTGTCTTTTGGGGACACACAGTCCTGGGTCCCCAAGCTGAGCCCCCCAGAGACCTGTTACTGAAAAAACATGGTGCTTTGCTGCATTGCTGTGTTAAGAAGCCTGTGCCCTTGCCCTCTGCCTGGAGGCTGAAGTAATCACAGAATCACAGAATGGTAGGGTTGGAAGGAACCTCTGGAGATCATC